CAACTTCTTTAATAAGGTTTGATTCTCATTTCGAGGAAGATGGGGAAAAGGCCCACTTTCAAATTGTTCCTTCCTTGGGTAGTCTGCCTTAGTCTTTGGTAGTAGCTGTTCTTTTTATTTCTATAAATTTGGTGGTTCTCTTAATACTCTTGCCAGCTGTGGTAGCTCATGCCTGCAATCCTAGCACTTCAGGAAGGCTGAGGCAGCAGGATCACAGGTTTGAATCCAGCTGGGGTAACAACAGCTTAGTGAGACCATGTATCAAAATAAAAAATTTAAAAAGGGCTGGATATGTAACTCAGTGAGAAGGCCTAGGTACTGCAAAGAAACAACAACACAACCAACCTCTCTCTCTCCTTCTCTGTCTTTCTCTCTCTCTCTCTGTGTTCTCTATCTGTATTTCCCTGCTGTCATTAGTCTCCTCTCCTTCCTGCTCCCACTGCCAACATATTCTGCCTCTTCTCAGGGCCCAAAGCATGGAATCAACTGACCTTGGACTGAAACCTCTGAAACGGTGAGCCAAAATAAGCCTTTCCTCCTTAAAGCTTTTACTCTTGGGTATTTTGTCACACCATGGATATCTGATTATCCTAGAGCTGTCCCAGTCATCTCGGGCATCAACCCAGGTAAGCCTTCAATGTCTGACCACAACTGCATGAGGAACCCCAATGTAAAACACCAGCTGAGCGTTGAGTTGAGCAAAGTAAACACAGAACTATAAGACACAAAACAAATATTTTTGCTTTGAAACTGGTACATTTGAGGGTTTTTAAAAATATGTTATTGACTAAATGGAACAGACACTTTGGGATGGCAAGCAGAGTGATGTGAAGAGTTTGGGTTGTTTTAGGGAACACAGTCTGGGAGGCAGCATGGAGAATGGGTTGAAGAAAGCAGAGGCTGAAGATATGGAGACATCAGAAGGCCTTTTCGGGAGAATAAGCAGATGTCAATATGAAGGAAAAGAAGAAGCTGGATTACAGACATAGTTGTGAAGTGGAATTGGCAAGATGTAAAGAGTAAATGTGTCGTGGGAAGACAGAAAGACTGAAAATCTTTGAGGTTTTTGCCGAAGAAGAAGTGGTAGATGACATTCTTAATAGAGAGAAAAGCACATAAGGAGCATAGATGATTAGATGTGTTGTACTGATGGTGAAAGTTTTCCAGGGAAATATTAGTAAAGATGCTAAGCACTTGGAAGCTTTGATTCAGGAGATGAGGGAGACTGGAACTGCGTGTGTACATGTACATACACAGGCTCACAGTCACATACGTGATGGGAGAGGTCAGGGATGAAATCTCCACTGGGAAGTGTTTGGGGCAATGAGAAGACGGTATAACTGGTAGACCTCTGAGGAAACTCAGGGATCAGAGGAACTTTCAGTTTTCACAAAGAAAACAGAAAAGAGAAGAAGAGAAACAGAAGACTCAAGTTTTAGACACAGAGGGATAAGAGGAAGATCAAGAAATATGAGGCTTTAATTGTCAGAAGCCACTGAGAGATCAAGTAAGATGGGGCTGTGGTAGAAGGCTTTGACAATTAAAAAGTCATTAGGCTCTCATGAGACTGATTTCTCATGAAAATAATCTGGCTTTGATCAGAGTAGTTTAAGAAGTTGACTGGAGGTTTAAAGGCAAACTACAAATATAGATTGTTCTTTAAAGATGTTTCAAAGAGGAAGAAAGATGTTTGTTTCTCTGAGCATGACTGCAGGCTAAGGGAAAGGAGGAGCACAAAGACAGCATGAGATTCCCTGAACCAACGAGAGTGAAAAGATGGAGAAGTTTCCAGAGAGAACTAGTTTAGAGGACTGGGTTATAGCTTTCTGTCTTTTCAAAGTGTGGTCCACAGTTTAGGAGCATAAGTATTGCTTTTTAAAAATGCAGAATGTCAGACCACACTTCAGGGCTAGTGAATCAAAATCTGCATTTTAACAAGATCCGAGGAAATTAGTATGCACATTAAATATACATGCATATACATGTACGATAGGGATAGAGCAACACAAATGTGGAAGAAGAAAGAAGGCACAGAACATATGCAGCCACTACACTACTCTGGCCATTTCCTTATTCAGTTACTTAGGCATGTTTCAGCTGATACTTAATAAAATGTTCATAACATTCATTAAGTGCTCTCAAACTCTAGGAACATATAGAAAACAGAGGTTTGTGTGATGCGAAATTATCTTTAGTGAAATTGGAGGAAAAGATGCTCTGCTCATCTTTCCTGTAGGCAGGATTGCCTATGGTGGAGGTGGGCATATTGTCATTGCTTGACTTTACTTTCAAGTATTCTGCTTTATTTAGTCTGAAGTGGATTGATACTTCTTTTTTTAAAAGAAATTGTGTTTTTAAAAGTCTCTGTGTGACGCTGTTATGCAGCAGGGATAAAACAATGGTTCTCAACATTGGTTGCACATTAGAGCAATGTGGGGAATTTGAAAAATAATTGATACCTGGGCCCCACCCTTAGTGATTTTCATTTAATCATGCTGAAGTGCACCCTTAATCATAACCTATTGACACTGTCCCCAATCACAGCCTTTTAAGATATGTCTTGCCTTTATTTCAGTGGTTTTCAACGTTAGCTGCAGAGTCAGATCATTTGGGACACTTTGAGGACTTCCAATGGTCAGGCACTTCTGTCAAAAATGACTATATCAGCAATGGGATCTTTAATGATGAAAAGGAGGCACATTTCCCTCCTTTCCAACTGAATTCCCCTAACATTAACAATCTGAGCTATTCAAAGTAACTTTTATTCACATAGCACTTACTATAGACATACAGTAGGATACACTTACTAGCCCATACTACATATGGTAGGATAGTACTACACTGCTCTTTTCAAGTATTTGTTCACTCCTTGTCCACCCTATATGACTCAGTTTTTGATGGAAGCAATATATTTACAATTCCTTCCTGTTTTCCAATACACATTGTAAATGTTGCACTATTGCTTAGCAATTTACCATATCATACATTTAAATTATAATTGAATACAATAACAAAATACATGATGGGAAGTTAAGTAGAGTTTTCAAACGCTTATTGCTTTTATTATTTTTTGTGAGAATGAACCGTTGTGTCCTCAAGATACACAACATGCCTCAAAATTGGTTTTCCCAAGTTGTGGCCTGGAGACCACATCAGGATTATCTGAGAGTTCCTGTTGTAAGTGAAGATTATTGGGTCCCACTTCAAACCTATTGAATCAGATTCCTTGCGTGTGAGATTTAGAAACTTATATTTTAACAAGCATCATAGGTAATTCTAATGGATTCTATAATTTGTACACTGTTCCCTTAAAAAGGGAGTAGGCACAAAAAATGAATAGAGTGTCTATTACCAGTTAAATTCAACGTTTAATGAGCACTCATGTGCGACACAATGTGGGAACTTGTCAGTAACGATGTAAAGAAGGTCCTAATCCTACAGCGGATAAGAGTCCATTCATGTGTTCAGCACCTTGCCAATAATTATAGTATAAAACAATACATTTGTTGTATAAGGCTTTCATAGACCATATTGTTATAGGCAGCCAAGTTATGTAGAAATATTACAGGCAGTCACACAGGGCCAGGCCCTCAAAGGAGTCAACATGAAAGACAAGATACGTATTTGCTGTGGGCCAGACCTCAAGACAAAAGACTAAACAAATGCACCCACTTACCTCCCTAGGTGTAAACATCAGGGCTTGATAATCTAAATAGGTAGCGAGCACCTTGAAGAGTCCCTGAGCCAATCCCTTACAGGAAAAGTCCCTGTTCTGTATTCATGTCTGTTTGCTACCTGACTTGCTTCCCCATTTGATCCCAATTTAATCAATTTCATCTGAACAATTCTTACTGGCTGACCACAGTTTTGTCCATTTTTCCCTTACCTTGGACCCACCTCACCTCGTGGTTTTGATACAGGAAAATAAAAACTCCCAACCTGAATGATATCTGGGATGAGTTTGTGTTCTCTAAAATCGAAGAATGAATTTCAGGAACAACGGCGGTTAAGAGAAGAATACATTTATTGAGGGAAAGAAAGCTTCTGTCCAAAAGAGGGACAGAAGGGGGACCCAAGTGGGTTGCCCAAGACTGTCTTTTCCAGGGACTTTTATAGAGCAAAATCACGAGGTGAGGCGGGTCCAAGGTAGGGGAAAATGGACAAAACTATGGTCAGCCAATAAGAATTGTTTACGTAAAATTGTTTAAATTGGGATCAAATGGAGAAGCTAGTCGAGTAGCAAACAGGCATGAATACAGAACAGGGGCTTTTCCTGTAAGGGGTTGGGTCAGGGACTCTTGAAGATGCTAGCTACCTATTTAGAATATCGATCCCTGATGTTTACACCTAGGGAGGAAAGTGGGTGCATTTGTTTAGTCTTTTGTCTTGAGGTCTGGCCCGAAGCGAGTACCACCTCTGCATTTGTAAGGTATCTTGTCTTCCATACTGGTTCCTTCGAGGGCCTGGGCCTGTTTGACTGCCTAAAATATTTCTGTCTAACTCAGCTGCCTATAACAGTTTTGCTCTGGAAAAGTCCCTAGAAAAGACAGAATCTTGGGCAACCCACTGGGGTCCCCTTCTGTTCCTCTCTTGGACAGAAGCTTTCTTTCCTCAATAAATATATTCTGCTCTTAACCTCCGTTGTTCCTAAAATTCATTCTTTAATTTTAGAGAACACGAACTCGTCCCAGATATCGTTCAGGTTGGGAGTTTTTATTTTCCTGCATCAGTATCTTTAAACTCTCATCCGCCAGGGAAGATAGGCATTACCGCGCCCATCTATACCTACGGTGAAATTGAAACTCAGTCTTTGCCCTGAGGACAGCGCTGAAAAGCAAAGGGCTTCAGTAGTCTCTGCACTTCTGGATTCACTACGCTTTCCTAGAGATAAATTTAGACGAATTACTAGGTTCACTCAGTTCAGAATAATTGTTTCAGGGACTAGAACATCTCTAACGAACCTTCACAGATCTGTAGTTCTAGTGCACCAGCCAGAAGTTTGTTAGGATAGTGATGAGTGAATCCCGGTCTCAGCTCTCGGCCGTCTCTCTAGAAACACTGACAGACTGGGAACTTCAGTTCCCAGGAGGCCGTGCGGCCATTGATCTCGCGATGTTTGCAGGACACCCATCCACTCTGTTGGAAACCCCAGAGAAGGCGGGCCACGTCTCGGCCTGACCTATGGGTGCGCGGCATGCTGGGATATGTAGTCCATCCGGGACCGGGACGCCCCCTCGTATGAATGGGGCCTCGTCTGACTGGGAACTACAGTTCTGCTGGCAGCATCCGTGGCGGCCGTAGGGGAAGGGAGAACCGCAGCAGTCCTACGGGACAGAGCGCTCCGGAACGGTGGCGATGTGCTGTGCAGGCTTCCTGGGGTAACGGTATAAGCGGGTGCTTCCCTTGCACGCTCGCTCCTCTTTTGCCCCGGCCATGCGCCCAGCCTTTGCGGTGGGCCTGGTGTTCGCAGGCTGCTGCAGTAACGTGATCTTCCTAGAGCTGCTGGCCCGGTGAGTAACGTGCTCGGGCCCCACCCTGGCTCCCGGGGCTGGTTCGAGAAATGTAGAGCGGAGGCGGACGGGCTGAGCCCTGCTCTGGACTACACAGCCCAGGACCCCCTGTGCTCCCCGACGCTGCAGCCCCGAGCCCTGCCCGCTGTCCCGCCTAACAGTTTCACAGCATCCCGGTGAGGGGAACACTCAGAGTACTGTACTGCTGTCCTCACCCCATTTCCAGACCCTGGAGAACTGAAGCCTGGAGAGTTTCTCAAGTGTATGGTCCAAGGGAGTAGTGGCAGCGCCCAAGGTTCCTCCACCAAGCCACCCTCTCCTTTCCTTCCCCTCCAACTTCTACTTTTCCTGTTCTTGGCCCTTGCCTGACGACCAAAGTTTTTTGAGTTACAAAGCAGTCCGTTTTTGTACACGCTGCAGTTTCATTTTTACTAACATCCTTGTCTGGCAAAACACTGGTTTCATTGGCCAGATACATGGTTATGAGTACTTTGCCCGGACATTCACCTCAATGAAGTAGAACAGACAAATTACTTAGGTAAAAGATTGGTCCAAGTGACCTGAGAGTTTTTCCAGTTTTAAAGTATTGCAGTCTTTAAATTGGGAAACATGCGTTTTGAGGTGTAACTATAAATTGAGAATGGCTATAATGCTTTTCTACAGAGAAACGAGCTTGACTTGGGAATAATGTTGAATGAAAATGTGCAAAGTTCCTAGGACAGAGACTGTTACCAATGAGATAAATGAAATGGAAAAGGCTTAGGACTTTAAAAACTCAAAGTTAAGAATTTCTGTCTTCTCTTGTCAACTACTGGCGGTGTGACGCTTTCAAATCACTTTGGCTCATAGGCCTTTTTGTCCCCTGCTGTTTAATAGTAGCTGTGGTGCGATCTAGCTCGCTGTTTTCAGTGTATTGTCTCCACTGGCTGTCCAAACACTCCTGTGGTCAAGAGTTATAACCTCTCTTTTGCTGCAAATGAAACAGGTTCCAAGAAATTAGGTGATCTTTCACTACTTGTAAGTGTCGCAACAACTGGGAGCCAAGGTGTCTAAAGTCCTAACTCAATATCTTTTTCCATCTCCCTGTTAATTTTGAACTTGAACAGTCTGTAGATACCTTTTCGGTGGATGGCACTCTGCAGCCATATTCACTGAATTTTTTTTAAAAAAATCGCACCTGCAGTAGTAAAGATATTCATGAAAGAGGACTTCCAGAAGTGCTTCATGAAGTGGCAATAAAGATGGGATAAGTGTGTTTGAAGCGAGGGGGAGTATTTTTAGGGGTGTTAATGGCAGTGTGTCTTTTATTGTAATATTTTTTTAAAGTCACTATATACTATTTTGATCACACCTGAGAGAAAGCCTGAAGCACAGTGGTAGTTGACTTGCCTTACTCTCTTAACAACTTTGTCTCATTACAAATATACTTTGTTTTACCAGATGTTACAGAGAAGTTGCGGACAACTATCACTTTATAAAATGTTTCAGTGCATCAGAGGAGCTACTATTTAGAATACTTAGACTAAGAACCGGGGACTTAGCTCAGTGGCACAGTGCCTGCCCAGCAAGCGTGAGGTCATGAGTTCAGTTCCCGGTATTAAAAAAAAAAAAAGAATCTAGAATACTTGGACTACACATAACTCATCACTCCCTATTTGTCTTTTTATAAATCTTCATTTTTGCAACTACATTTTCATAAAATGCTAACCAGACTGAAGAGCAGTCTTTTCCTAATTACTTAGGCAAGCCACAACTTCTCCGGTCAGAGTTCGGTAAGATAAGACCTGATTAAGCCAGCTGGTCTGCTTTGTAGATATGGTTAGAATTTGTGACTCTTATTTATGAGTATCACCATGGTAAGCTCATACATTTTTATGGAGCAGGAACTATGCTTTTAATATAGCTTTAGAACTTTTAGATACCATAAAAAGTGGCAAGTAGAACTCAAAATATAAATACTGGAGTGACCTGCAAGAAGAGAATATTTTAAACCTTTTTTTAAAAAAGTGAAAAACAAATTTAAGTGTTTCTTTCTGATTTGCATGCCTATCACTGAGGCTAATAATAAATACAAACACAATGCACTGTGCCCAGTAGATGTAGTAATAAATGAGTACCTGGTCCCCCTCCTTAAGAAGCTTACAGTCTACCTTGGAAACAGGATCCACATACATCAGCTAACTAGCTTGCCAAGGCATCGCATGTCTTACTTTGGGAAAACAGTCTGAAACATTTTTTCCCATTTAAATTTTCAATCAAAGGTAAGACAAACCACTGTTACTTCGTATCATTTTGTCTTGAAACCCTGTATCACTTTAAATGTCCTTGCTTTGGTTCATTTATGTTTGTGATGCTGGTATGCTGCTATTGTTCTTTTTTTTTTTTTTTAATTAACTACTCTCATTAAAATAAATTTTAAAAAATAAATTTTCAATCAAAGCCCTGATGTGGAAGTAAATAAGGAAGACTCCCACATCTAGAAAAAAGAAATAACAAAGGAATAAACTATCTGCCCACTTCATTCTCCCCAAAGTTGCTTTTTTAAAAATAAAAATTCTTACCAAAGATAATTGGATTCTTACCAAAGATAATTGAAAATAAGAGAAACTTAATGAATTCCTCATTCAAGAAGTTAGCCTAAATATGAGGACCAGGAGAAAGAACTTTAATCTAGATGGTTCCTAGCACACGGCTCTTCAATTCTGGCAGCTGTTCCTTGTAAACCTCCATGCTGGAAGAGGCGCACCTTCCCAGTTCTGGTTTCAATGACCTGGGGAAGGGCCATGGGGGAAGGGCCAAGAAGCTCCTTGTGATTAATGATTATAATTTTTAAGAACAAAATTCAAAAGAATAACAGGTTTAGGGAAAAATTTTGAAGTTTTTCCTCGGAAGTTTTAGAATACTCAAAATAAATCCCCTGATAGCTACATAACAATATGTATTCTCAAATGTATCTTCCCAAAACACTCTCTAAGTTGTATTAAAAAAAAACAACAACTAAATTATATGAGTACAGAGTTAACAATTACATGGAAAAAGAGACAAAAGTTAGACTTGTCAAAGGTTGGGGGGGCATGTCTCCTGATGGGAATGAGATTTCTTTTCAGGGTATCCTAAGATACCTGGTAGTGATGGTTGTGGAACTAAAAAATCATACTAAAAATCACTGAATTTTAATATTAACAATAATAAAGATATACTTACCCCAATAATAAGGGTAATAATAAGGTATCCATTTCTTTGCTCTAAGGCCCTAGGAGATGTACCCAACTCAGTGAAATAGGTATAATAATACCTATCACCATAAAATAAAAAGATATGATGTTTTTAAAAAATTATATGGAGAATACACTTGTAAAGTGAATCATTTTTTGAAATAAATTTTCTCTTTTGTACAAATACTAATATTTTAGATCACATTTGTTTAAAACAGGCATTCTCATACTCACTGATGTGCTCCAGTGAAGGCCAGACTGTGTCCCAAGACTAGGGGCACAGAGACAAGTTAAGACAAGGTCCATCCCTGCTATGGTGCTGGGTTCTTACTGATTCATACCTCATATTTGGTTCCGTCATGCCATTGTCATCTCTTGAAGACAAGGAACAGCTATCATTTGCGCTGGGAGCTCCCTCGAAAGTAGAATTTAACTAGCAAAATGGGTTCTTGATTATTATTCTTTAATTGAATTGCTCTAAGCTTTTGATAGAAAATGGAAAGAAATACAAGGAACATTTTGAGTTGTTTTGAGGGCTCAGTCATGCTTGGCTCTTTGTATTTTCTCATTGAGTTCCTACTACCACAATAGTATATCATTTGCATTTTAAAGATGTGAAAATTTGGTCACATATTTAAAAGGGCGCTGTACTTAGAATGATGCAAGATCCTACATTCAGGTCATCATTGTAGTTCTAATGCCTTTTTCACTCTGTGGCAGGCAATTACGCTTTTCAGGAACCCCCCATTTACTCTACAGTAAACCAGTGAAGTGACCACTAATATTGTTCCCATTTTAAAGATAAGAAAACTGAACTTAGATAAGTTGATTAACTTCCACCTTCACATGGTGAGTGAACAGAGGTGGATCTGGCAGTGCTGTGGAGCACAGGAGTTCTGTGTCTGCGCATGAGAATAACCTGTCCATCTTACACATATGTTCATTCATCTGCACATACATGCATGCTCAGCCCTTTCTCACTACCTGGATGAATCCTTCCCAACCCTAGCTGCACCTTAGGATCAAGTGGGAAGCTTTTGAAAGTACTGAACCCTGTGGCCCTTCCCCAGGCCAATGAAACCAGAGCTGGGAGGGTGCGCCTTTTCCAGCCGATAGGTTTACAAGGAACAGCTGCCAGAGTTGAAAAGCAGTGTGCTGGGGACCATCTAGATTTAAAGCTCTTTCTCCGTATATTTAGGCTAACTCCTTGAATGAGATAAATGGCTTACATGATTATTTATGGATTTATCTAACATTTCGCCTTGTCCCTTTGAAAACAAAACATGTTCAAAGAAAAATGGTTACATTGCATCTATAACAGTCCATTGCAAGGAAACCTTGACAGGCAGTCGCACTCCAAGGGTAGTGAAAGATCTGCTTCAGATGGTCAGCCTGGCTTGATACAAGAATGGCTCTTGCCTGGGTTTGTCTAATGGCTGATGAATATATCTAGGAATGCATATATTTTGGCATTGCTACTTAATATTATACCATCAATAGGAAATGGAGTTCTTTTTGGTAAGTAACGTTGTATTAATATGTAATAGTGCAGCTAAATCCCTCTATCCTCTGACTTTGGTCAATGTCTTTGGTCAAGACGTAAAGACAGACTGTGCATATTGGTGTTAAGGGAAAGCTGGGTGCTGCTCACTTGGTCTTTCCTCCAGTGACTGAGCAGAGCTGAAGGGAGGACAAGCTCAAGAAAACCATCAACATTTCCCATGATTAATTTTATAGTGCCTCCAGAGGCACATCAGAAGGAATTTTTCTCCTTTGTAAATATGTTCCTAATAGTCACTGCGAAGGATTTCCCAGCTGCTACATAGATCACTGAAGAGGATCAGTCGAACTCCACAAACAGTTCTTGAATGCCTGATAGATTTATACATGGTTAAGGGTCATAGAAAACAGTAGACTAGAGCAATGTTTCTCAATTCTTTTTAAATGTATTTGCTTCAATCCCAGAATCCTTTTCAGATAGTTTCCTTAATCATTCTTCCGGTAGATATACTGGAGGTTTGCCGGTTTGTATACAGATATGCATGTCTGTGCATAATACTTGCAAAAAAAATGAGGTCCTCCCCCATCCAGAGAACCAGTCTTTCTGCCACTGGGGCCACTATGTTAAGGAATATTCCTGTTGTCTCCTGGTCAGGAGAGATAATTCAAGGATAATTTCTACTATATCTGTCTTTGGGATTTGCTACCTAAGCTGAGCAGGCTTCTAACTAAAGGCTTTTTGATTAAGTGAGGATCTCAGTAGGAACATATGACCAGTTTCCTATAGTTTACTAGGAAAGCTGTGTTCTAGCAATGAGTATAGCGAGTAATTCTCACATGTGGCCTGCTATACCTAGAGAATGAACAAGAAAGTCGTGGCATTCTCTGGAGGTATAATACAAATGTGTGTGATCCATGGGATGTGAAAAGCAAGATACAGGAAGGCAGTGGGTGATAGAAATCTGCCCTTCTTGTTATTTTGGAACTATAAATGTCACACACTTTAGTGCCCTTTATCTCAGTTTCTGTGCCTTATTTTGTCTTGTTATTCTGTATATAGGAAGCATCCAGGATGTGGGAATATCGTGACATTTGCACAATTTTTATTTATTGCTGTGGAAGGCTTTCTTTTTGAAGCTGATTTGGGAAGGAAGCCGCCAGCTATCCCAATAAGGTATGGCACATTGAAGTCTCTTCTAGCTTTTGGTCCTTTTCAAAAGTCTAGAGGGGGCGGGGAATATAGCTCAGCGGCATAAGCGCCTGCCTGGCAAGTGCAAGGTCCTGAGTTCGATTCCCGGTACCAAAAAAAAAAGTCTAGAGGTGGTACCTTTATAAGAGGAATTGACACACCCTTTTCTAAAATTTCTTAATGTAGTGTGAAGTATTTTGAATACATTTTTGGTTTTCATTGGCTTTACTATCTCCATAAAGTTTTCTATTTCTGCTGAGCACCATTTTCATCTCAGTAGGAGGTCCAGCAGTTCTAACTCTATTGACCTTCTCCTGCCTCCGGCCACCATCTCACCCAATCCCCTCATCCACTGGCATGGATCAGGAACATATTCGGTATCACCATAACTTTTACAGTTTTGTCCTAGCTGACTGTCTCCTAGCTCTTCATCCTTTCAACTTCTACTGTTTAACATGCTCTACTCCCCTGATGTTCAGAATGAAATCCAGATCTCCCAACCTGCTCTTACAGCTCTTCATGATCTTGCCCTCAAAACCTTACTCCTGTGTGTGTGTCCCATTTATGGTGGCTCTAATTTTTCTGTATCTGAAGCCATAATTAAAATTTGTTCATGTCATTCATCCTCATAACTGCTTTCTAGGCGTGTTTTGTAGCCAGCCATGTGGAATAGTTGAATTAATTATCCTGAAAGACCTTGATGAACTCTTTTTTTTTTTTTTTTTTTTTTTATCTCCCAGTGGTATCTCTTCAAGACATGACCAAACATTTCGCTAGATGTCACCTTGTAAAGTCACTATAGATACTACTTAGAAGTTGTAAAGACACAGTTGCTAGTGATTTTGCATGTATGGGATAGTATGCTGTGGTTATTGTCAAGCTCCTCAAACTTTCTAGACTTTTAACATAGTCTTATCTGTGTGGACTTTTGTGGTACGTAGCTCACATCTAAACCACAGCAGGGAATAGGTTCTTGTCAGAGAAGGTAACTTAGGATTCAGTCTTGTCATATTCTTCAAATGTGTAGAAGTGGAAAATGGATAGTAATCTGTGTTCAGAGACCAACATTGCATGGAGAATATGGAACCATTTGTTTACCTTTGCCCTGCATTCTTTAGCCATTTATTTTGAATATTTTTCTCCTGTTGGATATAGTAGATTGAACCATAAAGTTGCTGACATTCCATCACAGCAAAATAATAATAATATGTAGGAAAAACATCTTCAGTGTTTCGTAGACAAATTCATTTATTTGTTCAGAATTTATGTTTGTTTGTATATATCCCTTTATGTTCAAAGTCATTATGTTTACTGGAATTTCTTTTAGTTTTTGTTTTATTATAATTGTAGCATCAATAAAACCTCAAATAACATGGACCCTGTTTTTAAATACAGCTCTATACAAGTCAAATGACATCCTCATTAGCTTGGAGGCCCCTGTTCAGAATGTGGGATAATTTTAACAGTTGTGGGCTGAAAGTAAGCCTTGCCTTAGCAAATCCTTACTTTAGAAATAGTGAAAAATAAAGGTATAAATAAGTGTATAGAGGAGAGACTTAGGAGACTTGACCATTTTCTTCAGAGGTCTATGAAAATTATATACAAAGAACTACTATAACAAGACTTATCCATTCACTTTAAAAATATTTTATGGTTATCTAGGAGTATCTATGGTTATTTATTTATTTATTTATTTGTTTATTTATTTTTGGTAGCAGGAATCAAACTCAGGACCTCCTGCTTGCCAGGCAGGTGCTGCGCCACTAAGCTATACCGCAGCCCTCTATGGCTATTTTTAAAGCATAGTTTTAAGTTGCTGTGTATATTGAAAAAACATTAAAATAGTGTTTCTTTAAAAAGATTCTGTAATTCTAATTTTTCCCATGTTTGGCTTTATGGAGTACTATTATATGTACATGGTATTCATGTGATAATAGTGATATATTTTATTGTAGAAGAAATGAGCAATTTTTTAAACCAAAAATATATTTACCTTTCTATGCTTTTTTTCTCTGGACTATGAGATTCTGTGTGATTTCCTGTTCTCTCTGCATTTCAGGTACTATGCTATAATGGTAACCATGTTCTTTACTGTCAGCGTGGTGAACAACTATGCCCTGAATCTTAACATTGCCATGCCCCTGCATATGATATTTAGATCTGTAAGTGCTGTTGGCCCACCTGTGCATGCTCCTCTGAAAAGTGGAATTAAGTAGGTAGATTGAACAGATGAAAAAAGTAGAAAGGCCTTATAATAATTGAAGTCTGGGGGATAACAGTGGGTTTGCAAAAGCCAGGGATGGTGGTGCATACCTCTAATCCCAGCATGTAAGAAACTGAGGCAAGAGAATCACAAGTTTGAGGCAAGACTGAACTGCAAAGCAAGTTCAAGACCAGCCTGGACTTTTATTTACCTAAAATCTAATGGGTGATTAATAAAAGAAAAGTTTCCTGGGAAACAAATTTTACCTTCATTTTCAGTTGTCTTATTGATTTTATAGTTAAATTTGCTATTCATGTTATTTACCTTATTTCTTGCCACCCACTTCTTGTTTCTTACTCCAAAAATTACATTTACTTTTGGGACACGAACTGAATACAGGGTAGATATCC